GCATGAGTATCGCCTTGATGACAACACTGCTGAAGTTGAGGTACTTAGTAACTTCCCAATACAGCTATGTTTTTACTTTTTGATCAGTCGGATGCGGATTCAGGATTTAATCTATATGGATTCAGCTTTTATGAGTTCATACTATATTTTAATAAAATTTTACTTATAAGTTATGGATTTAATTGAAATCATCGCTATAATGCCACATTCGACCCTGATCATAGTTTTTGAGTAGTGTATAGTCATGTTATGTCTTGGCCTGTCCTCTCTCTTGTGAAGTTTGATTCTTTTTTCATGGGCCAAACACGTTAAAATGTTTTTCTTCTTCTTTTGGATGACAATGAAATTTGAATCCAAAATCACATGACTGCTCTAATACCATGTAACATTATGTGACCATCTTGTCTAAATATTTAACCTGTTAAGAGAGCAGACTTTTAATTGGTTAACTATATATGTCTCAAAACAATTTGAACTCCTCCTCTTTTATGTAGAGTAGGGTATACAAGAAAAAGATACTAAATTTTACATTTCAATATTGTTCAAGCCATTGCAGGAAGATGGATGGGTTGTTTGTAGGGTGTTCAAGAAAAAGAACTACACTAGAGGTTTCCAACACGAATTGGGTGAAGATGATCATGAGCAGCAGTTACATTTTGCGGATCATATGAAGTCTGGCAGTTCTGATCCAAAACAGAATATGCAACAACCTCATCATCAAGCCTGCTACGACTATGCGTCCAACTTTGATGGTTCAATGCACCTCCCTCAACTGCTAAGTCCAGACTTATTATCAGTTACTCCATGTCCCCAGCTTCCTTTGAGTACTAACATGAACCTTAATGAATGTTCTCATCAGAACTTATTGAGACTAACATCAGCAGCTGGAGCAGCAGGTTGTAGCAACAGTACTTTCAATATTATTCCTCAACACGACAAATTTAGTGGCGATTGGTCTTTCTTGGATAAGCTTCTTGCTTCAAACCAAGGCGCACTGCAGTCTCAAGCAGCTATCGGAGATAATTTGGTTAATCCCACGGGCACACAAAAATATCCAGTGTTCCATCACCATGGTTTTGATCCTGACCTTTTCAAATTCTCTAAGTAGATATACTACGACCAGCGTTCTGTGGCTGTTCTGATTTTTTTCTTTCATTTTTTTTTTGGGGGTTTATTTCAGAGTTCTTTAAATGTTAATCAGAAAACTCAATCTCCTGTGTTGTGTTTGAAAGTACTTCATTCATTTTAGTTTGTGTCGAATATGACTATAGAGAGTTTAACATGTTAAATTTTAGTTTCCCATTACATTAAAAGCAACAGAGGAAAAATATATATTGAAGTACTCCCTCTTTCCCATTACATGTGATACACTTTTATTGGTCACTAAATTTAAGAAAGAAAGGTACTAAAAAAAGTTATAGATATTTGTGTAATTATAAATCTTCTTAATAACGGTAATATGAGAAGTTTAAAATTAAATTATTTCTAAATATAAAAAAATTATCATTCTTTTTGGATAAATCACTAAAAATAAAGGTATTTCACATAAATTGGGACAAGAAATTGATAGGTTATATTTAGTTTCAAAGGGAGAAAATTTTAAATTTTGATTCTTAATGAATTTCAATTCTTAAAAATTGTGAAAATATTATAGAAAAAATTCGGTACATGATTGGGTCACCAATCCTTCCTTATTAATCATTTTGGATATCTCAAAAATGAGAAATAATAATTATAAAATAAGTACATGATTGGGTCTCCAGTCCTTCGTTAAATTATTACACTTGCAAGAGTATATTTTTCTTCTTAAGAGATACTTTATTTTTTCAAATTAGAATTTCGAAAAATGAAAAATTATCTGTGAGAATTTAAATAATCATTATGTGCCATATCTTTTTCTTCTCCTAACTAGTCCTCTCTGGTTCGCATAGTCATAGGCAGACAGTCTTAGTTGTAACATTTTATAAGACATCAAGCACTAACGTAATACTGCTTTACCCTAACTAGTTCGCATGCTCGTGCATTACAGATTATTTAGAGGTTAAATTAATTTTAAGAATAGTCTTCCCTGAAAAGTAACGTTAACTACAACCTAGAGAGTACTATAACACTGTGAGATTCCTAAAAGACATGATAAATATAGCATCTAGATCAACTCATAACCGTTATCAGTATTTGTTAAGTGCAATCTTTTAGCTTAAGTTCATTGACTAATAATGCGGGGTGTATTTTTCTTTAATTGTGCTAGAGACTGCATATAAGAACTAGAAAATGCAGGAAAAAAAAGAGAAATTCACACGGAGTACAACTTATTTGATACTTATTTAAATGAGTTACAATTACTTTTAAAATATTACATATAATACAATTTTTTAAAAAGCTACACTATTTCACACTACTAGAAATAAGGTGATTTCCGTCCAAGGCTTTCCGACCGAAATCGGTCGGAAAAAAAACCGATCGAAATCGATCGGAAATAAGAGTATTTAGTGGAAAAGTCAACAAAAGTTTTCTGACAACAAAAAAATAAAACTTCCGACCGATTTTGGTCGGAAATTGGTTAAATATTTGGTCATACTTGTATATAATGTACAAAAATAATTATTTATT